CATCAGAACTATTGCCATGAAAGTAGTCATACAAAAGGCACAGGGAAAGCTAGGTTATGGTGGTGGGGAAAATGACAGAAGCAGAGATGACAGGTCATTGCAGATTCTTCTTTGGATTTTATCAAGAATCTCTAAACTTATATAGCAGGAGCACTAGACCAGATGTGTTATCAATATTCAAAGAGAGGAAGAATGGTAGATTTATAAATATGTGAGATAGATTCTGATGAGAAAAACTGTCTAGCACAACACAGTGAACCAACTTTTTTAGCAGCTGCCCTATCAATTGATTCAATATAATCTTTCCACTTCATGTAAGCAGTAAATGTTAATCTGAAAAGGCATAATGAGTCAATCTCTTGAGGGTTAGCATCAGTTATGCTTTCTGTTTCAAAACTTATTTTGGGGGGGAAAGATGCTAACTATATACGCCTGGTAATAGATTTTCAGGTGTTAATCAATCTCTCTTACATTTTTGTTTGATATGACTTTATTATATTTCTATATATTAATAAACTATGAAACTAAAAAAAAAACATTTACATTGTTCAGACTGTTGTCCTCATCTTTGTTTTCATATTCATGATGTTTTGACCAGTATACACTCCGGCCTTCTTCAGGGGATTGGAGTTTTGAACCAAACTCTTTCTTTTATTCACAGGAGTAGATTGTTCTATTTCCACATTCCACGCCTCTTCCAGATATCTCGATTTCAGTTATTTTCCATTAACTCAACTCTCCGAGGTTTTGTTCACCTCTCCTCAAGGACATATGGCCCAGGTGGATAAAAGTGTTAAAGTAATCCAGTGACTTAACCCAAAGAGTTGTGAGTTCAATACCTGGCCACAACAGGGATGAAGACAACAGTCTGAAGAATGTAACTAGTGTAAATAGTTACAATACTTCATATCAGAAATATAGACAGATCATGAACAAGACTGGAGCATAGAATGGCTGAAATGTGAATATGACAATATAGATGTGGACAACAGTTCGAACAATGTAAATAGTTACAATACCTCATCTCAGAAATATAGACAGATCCTGAAGAAGGCCAGAGTATACAACGACCAAAATGTTGTGTGTTTATGGTAATAAAAATGAGGACAACATTCTGAACAATGTAAAAAATGTAAATAGTTACAATACCTCATATCAGAAATATAGATAAAAAACAATATTGTTTTTCATTAAGAATGATGAGAGAAACAAATATGGCCGACATATCAAATACCTTTTGTAAACAATTATCAACACCAGCCTATTTTGTGTTTTTAATGTCTATTTTTGCAATCTTGCTGTTTCGAATATGCTGCCTTTAAAGATGAGTAAAAATTTCTGAAAACATGTAGTTATGTCTAATATGACCCCCTTTAGTTTTCGTTCAACGTTTTCTTGTAAACAAGAAAATATGCTAAATAGTTTCTCTATTGTTAAATGTGTCAAACTGACTTCTACAGGTAACTTGATTATTTTTTACCCTAATTATTTTTTTTAACTTTCTTTTATCCTTTTCTTACATTATTACCTTCTGCTTAAATGTTTGACACTTGTCTTGACTTTGTTGTGTTAATTCTCAGAGACCCATTAATCAAAACTCTGAAAAGAACCTTTTTAAGTCCTGTCAGTTATTTAGTTTCCCGAAGCACTGACAAAGAAAAAAAATAATGAACCCTTCACTAATCAACTGGTAACTTTTGCAAATTGACTTTTACTGCAAATAGATTCTATTCTTTTCTTCCCAATACGTTCCAGTTCTTTTATACGCCAAATCCCTTTCAGGACATAGGGGATCATGGCCCTCCACAACTTTCTCTCTTTTGTTGCCCTATCTAACATTTACCTTTTTGCCATCCCTATTTGTCACAGTTCTGTTATCAGTTCATGTAAACTTTTTCTCTTTGCTTCTCTTGCATTCAATATGCCTTGTGAGTGTTGAATTCTCTAGGCCTGAAAGTTCCCAACATGGGGCACAATTTGATTTTTAAGGGGTTCAATATGAGAATGAGTTATTAAAAGTGAATTTTTTCTAGTTAGTCTGTGTGTGTGAGTTGATACATTGTATATACAATATACATACATGAAAATATTTGAGTATATACATGTGTAATCTGCAAAAATAACACATGAACAAAATCAAAATTACAACGAATGAACATTATGAGTTTAAATGCCCCTTAAGAAACTGTGTTCCTGATCAAACCAAATTCATAATTACATCAGTCACACTACTACATGCCTATCCAGAAGCCTTACATTACGCCTATCCAACCTCAGTTCCATTAAAACCCATTTAAACACACGCAAAATGACCATACACTATCTGAAACATACTAGTAGAAAATACACATCCACATGTAAAAAAAGATTAAAAATGATAGAAGCCTTAATAATAAAAAAGAAAAAGCCAATACTCAATAATATTAACTAAGAACACGGCCACAATGAGCTGTGTTCGAAAAATAAAACATCCTTATAACTCTAGAAACATACACACAATCCATACACCTAGTTAAAAAGCAAAAATAAAATCATCTTTGATAATGGCTAAAAGTGTAGCTGAAAGAATTTGGAATTACAGCAATCAGGATTTTAAAGATGCCTTAGGTGGGTCACTTCCACAAGGGACACAACACATAGAAGAACAACAAGCTTTTGTAAATGGTTGGCAGAACAAAGATTAGGTAAAATAACAGAAAGACAAACCTTACTAAATGCTACAAAGGGCAGGAAATTGTGGAGAGCCATGATCGCCTACATCTTGAAGGGGGAGACACGGCACACAGAAGAAGAATGATTGATTATAGTTGTTCCTAATGTTTTGTTTTAAATCTTAAAAATATTTTGTGCCTTCAAAGTTTCAGGGAAAGCAGTTTTCAAAAACTTTCTAAGTCTGCATCGATTTCTGAACCAAGAGGAATTTGAGTTTTTAGTTGGTGGGACTAGAAAGGAGGGTGTGACTCATTTAATGAATATATGGAATGGTTACTGCTTCAAAAAGAAAAAAGCCTTCTCCCTTTTTTTTTTTTTTCTTTTTTCTTTTATTTTCCCGCTCCTCTTTTCTTTTTTTATTTTCCCGCTCCTCTTTTCTTTTTTTATTTTCCCGCTCCTCTTTTCTTTTACTTTTTTCACGCTCCTCTTTTCTTTTTTCCCGCTCCTCTTTTTTTTTTTCCTCCTCCTTTTTTTTCTTTTTTTTTTTTCGCTCCTCTTTTCTTTTTTTCCCGCTCCTCTTTTCTTTTTTGCCCGCTCCTCTTTTCTTTTTTGCCCGCTCCTCTTTTCTTTTTTGCCCGCTCCTCTTTTCTTTTATCATAATCCATTTTTTTTTTTTTGCCGCTCCTCTTTTTTTTTTTTTGCTCCTCTTTTTTTTTTTGCCGCTCCTCTTTTCTTTTTGCCCAATTTTTTTTTTTTTATTTTCCATTTTCTTTTTTTTCTTTTTTTTTTCCGCTCCTCTTTTTTTTTTTATTTTCCCGCTCCTTTTTCTTTTTTTTTTATTTTCCTGCTCCTCTTTTTTTTTTTAATTTTCCTCTCCTCTTTTCTTTTTTTTTATTTCGCTTTTCTTTTCTTTTTCATTTTTTTTGGACAAAAATCTCCTCTTTTCTTTTTCATTTTTTTTCCCCTCCTTTTTTTTCTTTTTTAACACCCCTTCTCTTTTCTTTTTTTTTTTTTAAAAATGAAGTTCCTCTTTTTTTTTTCTTTTATTTTCCGCTCCTCTTTTTTTTTTTATTAAAAGCTCCTTAAAATTTTTCTTTTATGCCCTCCTCCTCTTTTTTTTTTTGCCCTCCTCAATTTTCTTTTTTGCCGCTCCTCTTTTCTTTTTTGCCGCTCCTCGGACTGTCAATTTTTTTTTATTTTTTTCTTTTTCTTTTTTTTTTTTTTTTTCCCGCTCCTCTTTTTTTTTTTTTTTTTATTCAAAATTCTTTTCTTTTCTTTTCTTTTTCATTTTTTTTTCCTTTCCTTTTTTTTCTTTTCATTTTTTTTCCCCGCTCCTCTTTTCTTTTCATTTTTTTTTCCCCCGCTCCTCTTTTCTTTTTCTTTTTTTCCCGCTCCTCTTTTTTTCTTTCTTTTCGCACATCCTTTTATTTTTCTACCCCCCACTTTATCTTACTCTCCTCCTTTTTTCCCCTCCACTTTTTCTTTTAAAAATTTCATTCTACAAAATTTAAGCAAAAAACAAAACTTAATTCTGTTAATTACTAAATAATTTCCATAAAGTTCCATAATTATTTAATTTTAGGGTTGAAATAATTATTTATTTACAGTATATACTTGTATATAAGACTACTGCATATATAGTACAATCCCCTTAAATTTTTGTGAAAAATCTGATGTTATCACATAGCCCATGTGATGCCAGTTTCTGAGCATTACTAGTTGGCCTACTGTAGTCAATTATCCTATTTCACCAAAAATGCATGATTTTTAACCTCTTCAAAATAATTACCTATCTACAGTGCCCTCCCATTATTTGTGTAAAAAAAAATAAAAAAATAAAAAAATAACTGATCATAAAAACTCACAATACTCTAGTATATATGGTGTTTATTTTTTTTGCTTGTCACTAATTTTATTGTTCATCCCAGGGTATGGACTGTCCAGACTGAATAAGAGAGAATGAATTATTCAAATGTCTTGTTCCAACTTTAGTCAAACTGTGTGTGTGCGTATGTTATTGTGTATATGTTAAATGACACAAATATATGTAACGAGTGATTGATTTATTCATTTTCTACAGCTTATCAACCCTCTGCAGGTTATTTAAAGCCAGAAAATATCTGTACATTGTAAGAATATTTTTTTAATAATAAAAAAAAAAAAGATAATGATTTAGTGATACAAGTTTTACTAATTAACCCATAGCTGAGGGAAGATTGAGGCGGATTCATACCTTTCCCAAGGGTATTTGCACGTAAATGAATATAATGGACCCAACTTGAATTTGAACACTGTTCTCTGATTAACAATTCTGTGCCATTATACATTACACCACTTGCACATCCAAGCTTACAGCATCTGGTATTCCCAAGCTGTCACCCATCTAGGTACTGACCAGGCTTGACATTGCTTAACTTCAGTGGTCATACAGGGACTGGTGTCTCAATGTGATGTGGCTGTAAGCCAAGCACATATACGTCAACGACACGCAACACAGACACCAATGCATTACAAACAAATCAGCTCTTCTTTTATTTTCTTGATTACTTAAGTATGGAGAAATTCAGAAAATTTGTAATGGTTTCCAGATTTCTTTGTTGGGATAAACACAAAGAAGACATTCTGCCCAATATGATAAGCCGAGGAGTTTGTAGACTAGCTCAGATTTTTGTAGAGAAATGGAGAAAAAGCCACATTGACATTTGCTTATATATATTTTTCAGTTGAAATGGCTAAATATAATTGCAAGTTCTATGCTAATAGTGTCTTCTCTCACACTTCTCGCCTGTGGAACTCTCTTCTGGCCACTTGCTTTCCAGTCATTTTTGATCTTCAAAAATTTAAATGCAGTGTCAATTGTTACCTTCTGTTTTAATTCCTGTTCTTTTATTGTCCTTAATAGTAGTTTAATATATATATATATATATATACTCAAGGACACATGGCACAGTGGATAAAGGCGTTGGTCAGATCCAGTGACAGGATCCAAAGAGTGTGAGTTCAATACCCAGTTAAGGCAGTGGAGAACTTTCAGAGGGAAATTAACAGGAGATAACTGATAACTGACATCCATCAAACATGGCACGTGGAACTAGAACAGTCTACCCCAGTGAGCGAAATAAAGGGTTCAGTTCGAAATTCCAACCACCTGAAGAAGGCTGGAGCATACAATGGCCGAAACTTTGTGATAAATATGGCGACAAAGATGAGGACAATAGTCCGAATAATGTAAATAATGTACATAATACCTCATCTCAGAAATATAGACACAAAAAGAATGGAGCATTACTTATTCTTTATCAGTGAATCATGTCAACTGAGATATGTTGTCTTAATTTCCCCCCAAATACTCAAATTTCAGGCATTTCTATGACATGTTCTTGGTGGGGGGAGGGTAGTTACCTTCCTTGTTCTTTTTTTTATAAGTACTTTCATGATAATTGTTCTGATGAACTTTCCTCTATGGTATCTAGACTTTATGCAGCAAATCTCATTATTTTTGAGCTGAAACTGTTCGATGTAACTGTAAGTTCTATGCTAACAGTTTCTTCTCTTGCACTTCTGGCTACTTGCTTTTCCATCAACTTTGATCTTCAAACATTTAAATGCAACATCAGTCGTCATCTTCTGTCTCCTTGAATCCTGTTCTTTTTATTGTCCTTTCTCCTCACTAACTTTTTATCAATTTCCTTCTTGCTTTCCTGTCAACTACAATCTTCAAAAATTTAAATGCAACATCAATCGTCATCTATCTACTTGAATCATGTTCTTGTGTTATTCTCTATCCTTAATAAAGTTTTTTTTTTCTCTCTTTCACACTCATTACCCCCCCCCCCCTCTTGCGTCCTAGTGGCTTTATTGCTTTGCTTGGGGTGAAATCATTAAAAAAAAAAAAATTGATAGAATTTCACACAGCTGGTTTTTGCACCTATGCAGGAAGAATTTTGCTTGCATGTCATTAGATTTGGCCGGGTAGTGGGGAATAAAGTCGGTTACTTTTTAACACCTCGTAAATCAACATCAACAAAACTAACACACTTTTGTTTAATAAGCTGAAAGATTACATCACTTAGCATCTTCCATAGTGTGTTTTTTTTTTGTTTTTTTTGTTTGTTTTTTTTTGTTTGTTTTTTTTTTGTTTTTTTTTTTTTAGAATATTTTACAGCATTCTCTAATTCAAAATTTGAAAACTTAATGTGATTTAATTTTTCCTTTCTTCATGTTACTTCTGTTTATAAATACAGGTTATTAAATAGTATTTCTACACTTGCCTTTGAATAAAATGCGTTGACATAAAATGTTTTCCTCTTCTCTTTTTTTATATATATATATATATATATATATATATATGAAAGAATTTCTTATGGTTGTTGACTGACTTAGCAAACTGAAAGGAGAAGTTGTTTGTGCTTTTATAAATATTTTAATGAATGATTCTCTATTGCTGCTAACTGACATGTGACAAAAATTCCTCTTACTTAATGAGACCTGAATATTTGACTCGGTGACAACAACTATTTTTGGATCCTATGTTTTGCTATTGTATATGACTTTTGTTGTCTTTCAAAGCAGGTTTTTAGCTGAATTAGCACGAGGCATTTTTCATATTCTCTTTCCCTGAACTTGTAGATCCAAAACCAACCTCATGTTTTCTGAATACCTCTCAAGCCAGTTGCAACATTCTGTTAACCTGGAGTGACTCAGTGGGAACACTGTTGCCATTCAATACGATTTTTTTCTTTTTCTTCTTCTTCTTCCTTTCTTTTTCTTTTCTTCTTCTTCCTTTCTTTTTCTTTTCTTCTTCTTCCTTTCTTTTTCTTTTCTTCTTCTTCCTTTCTTTTTCTTTTCTTCTTTTTCTTCTTTTCTTTCTTCCTTTCTTTTTTTTTCTTCTTTTTTCTTTTCTTTTCTTCTTCTTCCTTTCTTTTTCTTTTCTTCTTCTTCCTTTCTTTTTCTTTTCTTCTTCTTCCTTTCTTTTTCTTTTCTTCTTCTTCCTTTCTTTTTCTTTTCTTCTTCTTCCTTTCTTTTTCTTTTCTTCTTCTTCCTTTCTTTTTCTTTTCTTCTTCTTCCTTTCTTTTTTTTTCTTTTCTTTTCTTTCTTCTTTTCTTTTCTTCTTTTTCTTTTCTTTCTTTTCTTCTTTCTTTTCTTTTCTTTTCTTCTTCCTTTCTTTTTCTTTTCTTCTTCTTCCTTTCTTTTTCTTTTCTTCTTCTTCCTTTCTTTTTCTTTTCTTCTTCTTCCTTTCTTTTTCTTTTCTTCTTCTTCTTTTTCCTTTTAAATAAATTTATAAATTTAAATTATTTTGTTTTTTGCCTAACCATAGCAAACATTTTTATCATTTGCAAAAAATTCTGTTTAAAAAAAAAAAAAAAAAAATTTCAGACTGATTTTTCTTTCTTTTCTACTTGACTTGTCCCTTCAGGACTTGGTCAATTATGGCTCTCCACAACTTCTTATCCCTTGTAGCTTATTAAAGTTTGTCTTTTTGCTATCACTTCCAATCATTGTTCTGACTGGTAGGTAACTCACTGTTTCACTTTGCTCCTCTTGTCTCCAATGTGACCTCTGAGTGTTAAATTCTCCAAGCCTTTTTGTCTCTCATTATGTGGCCTAGAAATGTTAACTGCCTCTTTCTGATTATGAGTGTCCTTTCTGTTCCCATTTTCCTTAAACATCCTTGTTACTCACATGTTCAGTCCATGGTATTCTCAGCATCCTTCTGTAGAACCACATTTCTGTTGTTTCAAGTCCCTTCTTCATCTGTAATGGGATTGTCCATCGTTCACTGCCATATAAGAGGACTAATATTATATAAGTTTAGTTCTCTTTGTTTCTAACAAAATTTTGCTGTTTCTTAATAGTTTTCTTAGCTTTTAGAAGGCATCCGTGAACCAACTAGAATGTGATATTTATTATTTACCTTTTATAAAAAAAATTTATTATTTACCCTTTATAAAGAAATAAATGTGAAAAAAATTTTTATTCAAAAATTTTTTTTAAATTATCAAAATAGGTAAACCAATTTCAGCGATGAAATCAAGTTTTTTTTATTCAATCTAATAAATAACATTTAACATCTTTGCTGTCAATTCTCAAAAATAAAGAAAAAGTGTAATTAAACTTCTAATCATCACTTTCTAAAACAAACATTGCAGAGAGATTCAAAAGTGTATGCAGTAGTAGCAATGTCAAGGGAATAAACCACCCTTTTGACACACTGTCTTTTTTTATTGACATGAGGGTTAAACATTGCCAAATGTGCACAAAACTAATGATGTGAATCATGATGAATTGAGCACAAAGCTGAATTAGGCCAAAAATAAGACAAAAACAGTGAGGCCTTGTCAATGTCACTGAGACAAGAAATGCAATTTGAACTGCTTAGAAAAGATGTTAAAATAATCCAGAATAATATTAAACAATGCCAAGGAATGGAAAAAAATACCAAATACTAAACACAGAAATTAAAAACAAATGTAGGCAGGCTAAAGAGGAATGGCTCAATGAAAACTGCACAGAAATAGAGAGAATGACAAAAAACTTTCTCTATCATTCCCATGCTACTTCAGCCAATCAAAATCAACTTCCTTTGTTTTATCCTGTATCTGGCCATAAAGGTCAAACTGAGAAAGTCAAAGCAAAAATACACTTCTCTAAAAAAAAATAATAGTCTGCTAAACCAATATTTAACAAAAGAATCAAATTGATTATGTAACTATGAACAAAAGATTCAGAAATGCAATTCTACACTGAAAAAAAAAAATCTCCATGCACTAACTGCGGGGGCAACCATCTTCCAGTAATGTGGTACATAAGATTAAAACTACAGAAATTAAAGAAAACTAAAACAACACCTAAATTTCAATATGAAGACTCCTGAAGAACCCAGAGTTGCAAGGAGACATACCAAAATAGTTATTATCAAATACAACCTGAACGAGAATACAGAATCAAAGTGGAAGATATTGAAAGAAACAATTGTGACATCAGCGAATGAAATCATCCCAAAGAAAACAAGGTAAGAAAGGAACAAATAGACTACAGAAGTTTTAAAGATGATGGAAAAGTGGCAACAAACAATGCCAATGAATGTAAAAGAATACCGAATACTAAACAGAGAAATTAAAAACAAATGCAGCCAGGCTAAAGAGGAATGGATCAATGAAAACTGTGCAGTAATAGAGAAAATGACAAAAAACAAATACATCAAGTATATACAACAGAATAAAAGAATTAACAGGACAAAATGGGAGCCAACCAACAGGTTCAAAGGATCACGGACAATAGAAGAAGAAAAAAAATACTCCAAAGGTGAAACGAATTCATCAAATAACTTTTTCATGATGCAGAAGGGTCAGAAATACTAAAAAGATGAAGATGGAGAAGATGAACAGGAAGAAAGCAGCAGGGCCTGATGGGATTGTAACAGAAACGCTCTCAAACCAAGATTACTTCAGGCATCGATAAGATTACAAAAGTAATAAACAAAATAAGCAACAGCGGTCACATACCGGAAGACGTCACTAAATCTCGTTTTGTAACATTACCCAAGAAATCAAGCGGAAATGAGTGCGAACTCCGTAAGACAATCAGTGTAATGAGTCACATAACTAAACTAATGTTGTGAATCCTGACGAATAGAGTGCAAATCTGAATTAGACCAAAAATAGGAGAAGAACAAAGAGGCTTTGTCAAGAAGATTGGAACAATAAATGCGATATTCATGATTAAAATGCTACCAAAGAGAGCAATACAAATGCAGAAGGATGTACACTTATGTTTTATAGATTACACAAAAGCATTTGACGAAGTATGAAACAAGGATCTATTTGAACTTAAAGGCCTTCAACAAGGCATGGTACACAGGCTTACGACACAAGCTCTCCAGTTCTGGAACCACTGGAAGGATCTTCTCGATCATAAAACCCTTCCTAACTGGTAGGTCCATGAAGGTAGTTATTAATGGCCAGTATTCCAGAACCCTAGGGGGCCACTCCTTAGACCAATACTCTTTTTGATCTACATAAGTGAACTGCCTAAGAATATACTCAGATGATTTGTAAACATCTATGCTAATGATACAACTATATACAGGCTCACCTCTAAAACTCGATGGTCTGAGATTGGCAATGGAACTCTCTCCCTTCTTGCACAAACTAGTCAATGGGGTAAAAACTGGCTGGTTACAGACAATACCTCAAAGACCAAGCTAGTTACGTTCCATCATCGCTGATCAGACCATGAACTACCACCAATCTTGATGAACAGAGGACCTCTCGGGGAAGCACCATGCCTTGAGAGACAGTTGGGCCTCAAACTCATACCTGACTTCATGTGGAACTCGTACATATGATCCATTGCTAAGGATACAGATAAAATGGCTGGCTCCCCATACCGCTCCAGTAAGTACTTGACCCCCTCCTACTATCCTCAGCCTTTACAAGAGCCAGATCATGCCAAAAATGGAGTCGTATTAGGGCGGGTGCTTCCCAGACTGCACTCTCCAGCCTTGATAGTTTAAAAGCATCTTCGAGCACTTGTGGATAACAAACTATTCTCCACCCTTCAGCCTCTCTCCCACAAGCCGTATGTGGCAAGCCTCTGCTCTACCACTACTTCCACAAAAAGTCCTCAGACGAACTACATTCCCTACACTCCCAAACCTTCACAGCAAGAACGGACCATGCCACTTAAACGATAGCAAACCCCCCACATTCCCTCCATATTCCATCGGTGAGGAGTAAGTTTCACTCAAGTAGCTTCTTCCTGCGAACCACTGCCCTGTGGAATCAACACCCAACAGGATGTTTCCCCGATCACTACAACCTATTCAAGGATGGGGTAAACTGTCATCTTCCACTCTATATGCACAAATGGCCTCCTAACGTGGCCCTCTATCTTGAGTGGCTCACAAGACTTATAAAGGTTGAACCTCACTGTAAAAATAAAAAAAAGAAAACTCCATCTATTTGCAAAAGCTGTTAGAATAATCCCAAACTTATATTGAGAACTAACCGTCTGTGTACAAATAGAAAATAAATTGAGTAGCTATACAAGAATACAAAGGGGGGGGCATAAGACAAGGATGCATCTTCTCACCAGATTTATCCAACATTTACAGATGACTTGGAAAGGAAACTACAGGATCCCCCCCCTAGACAGTGGTAGAAGAAAGCAAGCAAAAAGATCTAAAGGTAGAATGTATGGTTATCAGCAGAAGAAAAAGCACAAGTGTTTGGCAGAATAAAAAATTTTAAAAATTCAATAAAAAATCAAAAATTGTTTTTTTTTTTTTTTTTTTTCACTGCAACTTATTCATTATATCATATCCAAGTATTTTACAAAAAATTAGAGCTGATTACACATATATTTCAAGCTCAGTTTAGGTTTATAGTTCGTAACCATGCAATGAGATGAGGTAAGATAAACTGTAGATTTGTCGGTGGAATATTGTTACATAATTACAGTGAAATTATTAAGGGTTTTTGCCAAAAGCATTTTATTTTTGGTTGTATATTGATTTAAAATATTTCTTTTTACAGGCTTTATTTTTTGAGATGCAATCAGCTCATTCTAAATTTCAAAATTTTGCTAATTTCCATCAAAATGACCGGAAGAAAGTCATCTAAAAACAACAATGGAAAAGAGGTAACAAAGCATAAACGAAATAGCTCCAGTTTGTTGAACTTAGGAAATATCTAAGAATAAAGATAAAAAATGTGACACTGAGATCCAAACATGAATTGGATAGCGAAAGAAATGTTCCAAAAGCTAATTAAAGTACTGAGGAACAGAAAAAATTCATTAGAAACAGTCTTGGATTGCTGTGTGGTATCCAGTTCTAGGACAATTGCATCCCTGGACATTAGAGTCTCTTGACAAATGTGTCCCTGGGTAATTTCATACCTCTGATAATTTTTTTTGAAGCCTTTTAAAGGCAATTACCATAAATTTTGTAAAAAGCATACGTTTTAATCATAATTTTTTTTAAAAAAAGAATAAAATAAAAAATAAAAAAATTAAAAGTTTATTTTTGTTTAAAATGTAATGACAGATTACCATTGTTGCAAGATCGCTCTACACATCACCAGTATGCTTTTGTTTCATCAGCGCTTTTCCTATGATAGTGGTAGCTGTAATTTTTCACGTCCACAAATATTTTTCCACCAGTGTTTGATTTCTGGAACTTAGCCATGGGTTTCAAATAAAAATTTTATCTATAAAATCCAGAATCTATTAGATGTTTGTGGTACGCACTGGTGAAATGAACTGAAACTGCTAGCATAATTTTCTTTTGTTTTAAAAAAAAAAGAAATTTTTCTTTTTTTTTTTTTTTTTTTTTTATTTTTTATTTATGGTAACTACCTTTCTGTTTGTTTAGAATACTTAAAGATATTGGTGTGCAAATTTCTAAAAATTTCTAAACAACTGTCTAAAAAATGGTAACTTCAAAAAATTATCAGAGGTACGCAATTATCCAGAGATGCATTTGTCTAGGGATGCAAATGTCTGGTACACAATTGTCCTGAATGAAAATGTCCTGTATGCAACTGTCTGTCCATCCTCTTATATGACAGTGATTTTTGGACAGTTTCCCCACAGATTAGTTTTTGATAGTCGATTTGTTTATGGCATATCAACTCCCTTATAGGTCATTTAATGCCAAGATTTAATTTTACTGGGATTTGTGAAGTAATAAAAATCTGATATGTTATTCTGCTTTCATATTTGAGTACATGGTAGATGATACTCAGATTTGTGCATATATATGTTTTGTGTGTGTATGTTTATGTGGATGTAATTACCAGAGGCATTGATGTGTGTTTTATATTGTAGTTTTTGTTGTATAGCCCCCTCATGCTGGGAGTAATCTTGGGGTGATGGCCTTGATTCACTCATATTTTGCATTTTTCTCTCTGTCATCTTTCGTACAGGTGATCACCCATCGGTTTTTAGTTCGGAATTAAAATGAGAACTTCAACAAAAGGGATTTTTAACTTATTAACACATCGACGTGTACATTTTTAACTAGCCAGTGGTGTCGCTCTATTACCCCCACTGAAATAACCATGTCTAATCTGTATGATGTGTAAAAATGTAACTCCCTGAAAACACTTTCTAACTCTAACATTCCCATATTCAGCTCAGCCAATCAAAATCGACGTCCCTATTTTGTCTACCAGCTGCCCGCAAAGTCGGCCTCAGAAGGTCTGAGCCAAATACGCTGCCACTAAAAAATAATAGTCTCAAACTATTCTTACCTAACCATCAAAAAAAAAGTTCATTTACGAATTTTATTTCAATGACCTTATAATTAACATTTTGTTGAAGTTATATTTTGGAAATACTTTAGGATATTATATGGATTAATGTCATGAAAGTTCATGTTGGTTGTTTGGTTGAATTTGTTTCACAGTATATCAACATCTCTATGGGTTATTTAATGCTGAAATCTAAATAATTGTTGTGGAGTGATTTCACAGTGGAGGCTTGTATTTATACTAAGTCGGTCCTAAAATAGGTTCGATGTACAAAACATTAGGAATTTGATATAATAGGTAATGACGCAGAGAAATCTAGTGGTGGTCGCTAATACTTTTAGTATCCGACTAACAGTCGTCCGACATCGACTGACTGACCAACTCCCTGATCGACTTCCGACTACTCCTACTTATTATAGGTGGGAGAGTCTATTAACTATAGAATAGGTGTGTTCCACTATAACAATAATTTGAACACAATTTTATGGCTTCAACTACTAGTCATGTATTGTTGATCTTTCTTATATAAAAATTTATTGCTGGTATTTTTATTATTAGAATGTATTTTTATGCTTTTCATAGTATTTTTCTTTGTGGAAGCGTGCTAGTATTTGCCCATAGCCGGGACCCTAAAAGGTGCTGGCACCCAGGGTTAGGGTGGAACTGGGAACAACAGAAATTAAGAGCCCTATAGATGAGGAGAAAACAAGAGGCAGCAGAAATATAGTTCTACAGTAGGATACTGAGAATTGCATGGACAGAGCAACTAAGCAAAGAGGATGTCTTAAAGAAAATGGCTACAAAAAGAACACTTTTGCTCAGAATCAGGTTGATAGAGCTGAAATTCCTTGAGAAAAGAAGGCTTGGAGAACTTAGCCCACACAAGACATATTGAGGGCAAGCAAGAGAAAATGTAGCAAGCCACTTACCTGACAAGCTTGTGTGAAAGGAAGTCAGAATGGGGTTGGGAGCTTTTAGCAAAGGGAAGAAAACTGCAGAGGGACACAGGTTGGGGAGAGCCATGATTGTCCATGTCCTGGAGGAACATGGCACATAGAAGAAAAATGTATGAAAATAAGTTTTGTTTGGGTATCAAGTTCTAAAGGAAGACCAGGATTAAAATGTCAGTGAATTTACACATTATTTTAAAGTGCCAGTGTATCCAGACACTCACCCCACTTCCTCCCGCGCTGTCTTGTTGAAATGTAATGTAGGAAAAAATTCCTATTCTTCTTGGTAGGAATGTTGTTCTCTTTTGATAAGATAATTTCTTTTTCATTCCTCTACCCCCCCTACCACTGACTGAAATTGCTTAACTTAATTAGTAGTCATCCAAATTTTACTCATGACTATCATTTGACAACTATCATTTGGCACAATTTTCATCCCCCTCCCCAGTCGTTCTCCCCGTTTGTTTCCCTCCCAGTCGTTCTCCCCGTTTTTTTCTCCCTGTTTGTTTCTCCTCCCCAGCCTTTTTCTCCCCTGTTTGTTTCTCCTCCCCAGCCGTTCTCCCCTGTTTGTTTCTCCCCTCCCAGCCGTTCTCCCCGTTTGTTTTCTTTCCCCAGCCGTTTCTCCCCGTTTGTTTCTCCCCTCCCCAGCCGTTCTCCCTGTTTGTTTCTTCCCTCCCCAGCCGTTCTCCCCTGTTTGTTTTTCCCCTCCCCAGCCGTTCTCCCCGTTTGTTTCTCCCCTGTCTTTTCGGCCCATTTTCTTTTTCCCTCCCCTGTCTTTCTCCTGCAATTTCCTACCCTCCTGTTTTTTTTTTCTCTGTTCTCTTTATTTCCCAACCTGGTCTGTCCTGCTATTTATCCTGTCACCCCCAAGCAAGGCAATAAAGCCACTAAGATGCAGGAGTTTACTGGGTGTGAAAGAATGAGAAGAAATACATAAATACATAATTAAGGAGGGAGGATAATAAAAGAAGAAGAAGAATTAAGAAGATAGAAGATAACGATTGACATTGCATTTAAACTTTTGAAGATCAAAGGCAATAAAGCCACTAAGACACAAGGAGGGGTGTTACTGAGTGTTAGAGAATATGACAAAAACTACTATTAAGGAAAGGACAATAGAAGAAGCATTAAGAACACAGAAGATAACGATTGACATTGCATTTAAATTTTTGAAGATCAAAGTTGACTGGAAACCTAGAAGTTGGAAGAGTTCCACAAGTGAGAAGTGCGAGAAAAGAAACTGTTAGCATAGAACTTACAGTTGCATCTAGCCAACTCAACTGTAAATTGATGAGACCTAGCTGCCAATCTAGTACATCATTGAAATTCAAAGTCTACGTGCAAAAGGGGAAAGCTCATCAGAACAATTGCCATGAAAATATTTAATACATAATACCTCATCTCAGAAATATAGACATACACACATTTATATATATATATATATATATATATATATATATATATATATATATATATATATATATATATTGCACCAGACAAGATAGCAGAAATATTCAATGCCTAGATGAATGGTAGATTTGCAACTGCTTTGAGCTCTGAACACTGTTTTACTGGTGGTAGAGAAAAATAACATAATGTAACTATTTTTATATCTACTGTGAAACATTACATACCAATTATTTGCGAATTTGGACTCAGGAGCTCAGGCAGAAGGGTTGAAATTGTTCAGGAACACAGGCCTCAAAGTTTTAAAATAAACTGATTGATGTAACATTACTTAAATTGACTATTTTGCATATAAAAAAACAAGGATGTTGTTTGTTTTTCTTGTAAATTAGCATCTTTAGACTTTCCTTAATCCACAACATTTGTTAGAATCAATTTTTTTTTATTATTTTAGAAGTGGCTTCCTGTTCATAATATACAGGGTACAATGTATAAATTGTCATAACTCAATCTGGCAAGCCTACATCAGTCCACTGTGCTGGATCAAAACCGTTTAATTTTTTTCTTTTCTTTCTTTTTTCTCATTCAGGCAATATTGACAAAATTGCATAAAGATCTACGGAATTATACACAAAGTGTTAAAGGTAAATATTTTTTATTTTTCTACTTAAGCATTGCAATTTGAATTTCAGAACAAAATCCAGTTATTTAGATGTATCAAAAGTATGTTCATTTTTTTTCATTATTGGGGTGGGGGGGTACTTTTTTGAAGATTATGTAAATCTCAACATCTTTTGATGATTCCAGTTCTTTTAAGTTTTTGAGTGTTAACGGTCAGCTTCTCGGCTGCCTCACATTCTAAAACGTGATAATCGTTGGTTGATGACTTTTGGACTTCTTTTCAAAGGACAAATCACTACCCTTAAATATGGTTAAACCAGTTTGTAGAAGTAGGTCAGATAATGGAGTTGTAGCCTTAAGTATATGAAATAAGATTTAAAGTAGGGGGTACAAAAAATGAAAGCTCTTCGTACAACCTAATATATAATAATATTCAAGTAAAGTCATAGGTTGTCTTTAGATGTATACCTAAAGTAAACTTTAGAGCAAAAGAGTTGAAAAAATGAAAATACTTCTGATACACCCTAATATATAATCATAATAATGGAGTCATAGTCTTCAGATGTGTAATACAGGGTGTAATGGATAAACTCTTATAAACTCTTATGTAAATTATGCAAAAATGAAAATAACACTGATATCTCATTTTAACAGATATATTCACCAAAATTGCACAAAAATATCTCAAAATGCTTAAGAATAAATTTATTCAATAAAATCAGTATTGGCTTCAACCAGGTTTCCAGACAACTTCAGAATCTCCTACAGCTATTCTTGACAGTGTCCTTGTTTAACTTGGTGAATACTGCTGTAATCCTTGCCTTCGCTTCATCTCTTGGTGTTACAAAGATTTTTGTTGGTTTCTCACTCAACTGTGCCCCAAACATAATAATCAAGGTGGTTGTCGTCTGGGGAGTTAGGTGGTCAAGGGGTGATGTGGTCACAAAAATTGTTTGACAGCCATGACAAGGTTTTCCTGCTTGTGTGACATGGTGCAGAGCCCTGTTGCCATACATAGGGTCTTCCAGCAGCCACCCTCTTGACCCACAGCAGCCACCCTCTTGACCCACAGCAGCTCTACTTCCTCAAGGCACTTGATATAGACTTCCATGTTGAGATTGAGACCCTCGTCAACAAATTCAGGAGTTCTTTTCTGATCAAAACATTCAGAGTAAGTTTTCTGAGCTGCCATATTTTCATCACCATTAGACTCTTCCAACTCTTTCCAATTCCTGTGCACTGTCCTCAGATTGACACCCAAACACTCTAAATTGTTCTTATTGGAGCATCTGGCATGAATGCCAAGCAGTACAGCATGCCATTTCCAAATTTCTCGCAGAATGAATTGCATCATGGTGCTCTTTTTCTCACAGATGGTGCCCAACTGACCCTACTATACTGTGCAGTTAACAAAAACAAACAATGCACATATGCAAAATTAAAAATATAAAATGGCGATAATTTACCCATCACATCCTGTATAATAGTAATATTAATAATCTAGTGTAGTCAATAACAAGTCTTTAGACGTGTACATGAAATAAGCTTTAGAGTAAAGTGTTGTAAAAAATGAAAATACTTTTGATACGTCCTAACATACAATAATATCAATAATATAGACAAATCCTAGTTAGCTGTTGGTCACTAATTTGTAACTGGAGGACTTAACATTTGTTACAAGGGAGAAAACTTTCAAAATGAATTCAACATTTTCAAATGAAACAATTTTTAACACATAAAGGAATATTGCAAAAAAAAGCAAAAGGGGAAAAAAAAAGTTATTTTTTTTTTTATCCTGTATCATTATTACGATAAACGTTAAATGAAAATAAAGAAGAATCCCATTTCTTACATTATCAAAATAAAAATAATCAAAGAAAAGACATGACCAATACCACTAAAAAAAAATAACGGCCATATTCAAGTAATTTTGCAAGTGCATTGGTCATATTTCTTTGCTTCATTAATCTAAGATTTTTAATCTACAATGTGGTCCGAAAGTCTTGTCACCCCTTACCTTTCATCCAAACTATAAGAGCTTATGTCAGCCATCAGAAATAGAAAATTATATTATTTAGGAGTGACAAGACTTTCGGACCACCATGTACAATAGACTCTATTATTACACGTCCTGGGTGTGACAATAAACTACGTCCAGCAGCAAGGCCCCTAATCGGGAGCTTTTGGAAAACATGGAAGCCCCTCCTAATTACTGTTGTTCCAAGGTCCACCCTGACCTTGGATGGTAGCACCTGTTAGGGTACCAGCTATGGGCAAATAGTTAACCCCCAAACTGGGGTCAAAACACCATGAAAGTATAAAAATAGATTTTTGATAGTAAAAAGACCGACAATATTTTGACTCTCAACAAAAACTGTCCTTACAAAAATACATCAATGAAACCTGATCTACAAACTGATTTCTTACACATTCTATTCATACGAACCTATCCTAAAAATCTTGTTGACATTAAATGACCCATTGAGATTGATATACCGTAAAACATAATAAGCCAAATCTGTTGTCACAAGAAGGAATTTTGATTTTTAAATCATTAAACATTAAAATATACAAAGAAAGTTAATGATATGAACAATTAAAAATGACAGCCATATTTAAATAATTTTGCAATTGTGTTGTTTATTTATTTTTGCATGTGTAATCCAGAATTTTATCTTTTACAATTAACTATTACTGAAAAGAGTGTGAAAAATTCTGTTTTTTAGTCATTAAAAGTAAAAATATGCAAGGAAAGCATATCAGTTTTTATTTAAACAAATTTATTATTATTTATGCTTAAATATAAATAGACATGAATTATTCATGCAACTGTATAATTAAATACAATGCATTAAATGTTCTTTATATATATATATATATATATATATATATATATATATATATATATATATATATATAATATCTATCTCTTAACAAGATATTCTTATTAAACTTGCTAAACAACAATTATTTTAAAATAAAAAAAAAAAAATCATTTTTATACCACAATGTATCTTAAAATAAACAAATATAAAAGATTAGAAAAACATGTATATTAAATACTGTAAATGCATAATAACATAACAAATATAATATATATAATAAACAAAGAAAAATATAAGAATAATGGATAATTAAAACTTTCCTTCAAAATACGACATTGCTTTCTTTGAGCAATGAAAAATACATGTCTGCTCACTCCGACATCAGTGTTTTCAAAACAGATAGAAACAGTGACTTTTGTAATCATAGGGTGGATTTGAATGCAGAAGCCACACTAAATCTCCTTGACAACAGTCTATCAACGGCAGCCATCAGCAATTCTGGTACAGTCATACCTGTCCATTGTTTGACATTGTCCAACACGTTTTCACATTGGCATCCTCTCCTACATCCACTGTCAAGCTGCTTTGCATGATGGTCTTGCACAGGCTGTTGTGTCTTATAACATGTCCAAACCATGCCATTTTTCTCCGTTTGACAGTTGCGAGAAGAGGTTCCTGGTGGGCCCACAAAACTTTCAACCCTTTTCCACACAAACTCATTAATTTTTATGTTCCCAATAGTAGATGCCAAGGAGTTTTCTTAAGCATTTTTTCTCAGACTTGGATCCTCTGTTTCTGCCAACAGTGTCCATGTTTCACATCCCTATTGGAGAATGGAGACTACCAGTGATTTGTACCGTCTGTACTTTGAAAGCTGATTTTGCTCCTCCATATTCTCGTCAATTTGGCCATTGCTGCCATTATTACTGCATATAAAAAAGACTTCTGTTTTTTAAATTCTAATAGAAATATTCAAAAAAACATGAAGCAAACAGAAACAAGTGACTTGATTTCCTCTACTAATTTGTTTTAAAAGTACAGCCTTTGGTTACCATAACAATGAAATATTTCATTACTCTGTAAAGGAGATTATGTTGCGTAACCAATAAATGTACAAAAGTCACATTGTCTTTTAGAATATAAAATAGATGATGCTAAGAATAGTTTTTTCTCTTTATTGATAAAAAACAATCTAAAAACATTTGTGTTCTTTCGTTCTTCAAGGCGATGAGATAATGTAGCAGTTGTTATAACATTATTAAAAGCTTTGCATCATTTCTGCATATATTTTTTTTTTCAATCAATGCAAACGACTTTCCTCATCTTTGTTGTTTTCACACCATCTTTCAACTTTTGTTCCTTCCAAATTTCATCAGGTGATTGTCGATCGGATAGCCTTCAGGGAACTTCAAACTGATCCCTTTATTTAATCTACGGGATGGGGTAGACTGTTCTCATTCCACTGCCCATGTCTAGGGATATCTCATCTTGTTTTTATTTTTAGTACTGCTCAGTTATTGCTCACCATGTTTCCATTGAGACCAAGTAAATACTGCCAAGCCCAGGGATTGAACTCAGAATTACTATGTCACCAAATTCATGAACCAACACTTTAAACCACATGGAAACAGAGTAAGCAATAACTAAGCAAGTACTAAATAAGTACTAAATAAGATATCCCTAGACATGGTCATCCAGATGAGAACATTCTACAATAAGTAATTCCCAAAGTGGGTGGTACTGCCTTCCTGAGGGGGAAAATTCAGAGAGTGGGCAGTGAGGAAAAAAAGTAGACAGGCAGAAGGTGACAGTGGTACATCTGAACCATAACATGCAATAATACACACAGTGTACCAAAAGTGTATCTTTACTTCACTTGACAGTGTATCCCATTTATTTAAGAATTATTATGGGATATGAGAATTATTATGGGATATACTTAGATACCCAAGATTTACTGCTCAAAAATACAATTGTAGCATTTGATTTTTTAAGCATAACTTAGACATGGCACAAGGCCAAAATTATGAGACACCCAGTGATGATCAAACTCACTACCCAGTCGTAATTGTTTTAGCGGGACAAGTTAGCTAACTATTACATCGTCTTGATGTGCCCTAGTGATTTTCAAAGTGTATTTTAGATGTGGCACAAGGCCAAAAGTATCAGGCACCCAGTGAGGATCAAGAAGAAAATCCATTCAAAGGTTGACTATACATTGGCATTATGCAAGGGGGTGGCAACCCGAAAAAATTGCTATAGATTAAAAAAAATTGCTGTAGATTAAATAATGGGTTCAGTTCAATGTTTCTTGATGGTTACCTGGATTGACAAGCACCTGATGAAGACCAGAGTACAAGGGTTGAAACATTGTGATAACAACAATGATGAGGATATTAGTCCAAATCTAAATAATAACTCTTTATCCCAGAAATTCAGTCAAGATAATGAATTTAACACCTGTTTCACATTTACGTGTTATTTTCAGCTTTGTGTCATACTAACAAGGTCTTATGTGATACAATGGTGGAAGTCTACGAAGACGAGTGGACTGAACAATTGACTTTTAAGGAAAAAGTTGCGGTAAGCAGTTTATTTTCTTCAAGTAATCAACAAACTTTTTAATTATTGACAGTTGTTGTTATTAAGAAATGTCAAGTGCTTCATTATTGCATACATATTTACTTTCTGTTCCTGATGCAGAAATTTCAAAGTATTTCTAATTCAGAAAGTTTACTATAGTTTCAATCTTGGTCTTTGTAGTTTAATTGGTAAGGCAGCTGTCTTTGATTAGTCAGTTCCCAAGGATGGGACTTTAAGCTAAAAACATGGAATCAATTACATCCTTGAGTATAACATGACCGCACAGTACAGCCATTCCGATGTAAATATTTTTTTTTTAAGTTTTACCATATCTATCAAAATCTAAATGTTGTACATATATTCTCAGTAAAATATTTAATTTTACATATATTTTCAGTAAAATATTTTTCATGATATTAAAGAATAGAAATGAATTGGATGTTTAGTCATTGCATGCTTCTTGTAATTTCTGTTTCAAAATTTATTTTCATAGAAAGCTGCTTTGTTGGAACATTAATGTTGTCCAAACTTGACAGATCTTGTGTATTTCCTTGATTCATCTTTTTTTTTCCCCCGTAAATTTGTCTTTTCTTTCTGTAAATTTTTTTCTTTTCTTTCTGTAAATTCTCTTATCTTTCTGTTAATTTTCTTTTTGTTGTAATTTTTTGTGAGTTTTTCTTTTTCTGCTTTTAATGTTTTTTTCATTTTAAATTTTTTTTTATATATTTACTGTAAAAATTCTTTAAATTACTTTTACATATCTTGTAAAAATAACTGAAGCTCCTTCTAAATTTCAACCTTCCCATTTACTCATGTCTTTCCATTATTTAATTTTGTTTAACATTAAAAACCTCCTACATATTGATATCCTCTCCCACAATCATATATACTCATCTATAGGTGCAGTCCCTGAATATTTGGGCATTAATTTTAACCCCTGTAGAAGAAAAGGACCTGTATATAGTGTAGTTGGGCACCAAAAATGCATGATTTTTAACCCCTCCAAAAAATTTGCCTGTATATAATTTGGTTTCTTTTACAACATATCAACACATTGGGTCATTTAATGCCAATTTTTGTGTGTCTTTGTTTTGTTTTGTGTGTCTTTGTTTTGTTTTTTGTTTTTCTTTGTTTCTTTTTTTTTTTTTTTTCTTTTGATTCTTTTTTTTTCTTTCTTTGTGTTTCTTTTTTCTTTCTTTTTTTGTTTTTCATAAAAAAACTGATCATAAAAACTCAGTATACTTGAGTATATACGATATTGGTTTCTAAATATTCCTTTGGTTAAGGGAACTAAAAACATTATCATTTAGAAAGTCACTTCTCTATTTACATTCTGATACAAAATAGAATTTATTTAGGGAAATATAAAGTTAGGTTTGGCTATTTACCAATTTTCCTAATAGTTGTCGGTCGGGTAACATTAACCGAAATATTAATGAGGACACAAAAACAACCTAACTATAATTTGAGGCACAGGTCAGGCTGCCAAAGTTTTTAGAAAATAACACCTTGAGCTTATCCTAATCAAATTATGTTTAGATCCATTATTTATTTGCGTTTGTTTACAGAAGTATTCAGAATTCAAAGCTAAAAGATATTTCTGGTTTGTTTTCTCTCAAAACAAGTTGCCACTTAATTATATTCATATGGAACCACCTTGTTATATTTAAATGCCTGAATGCTTAGTGATACTTGATACTTTGCTGTACTTTTAAATGTCTTTGCTAATCAATGTCACTGATTTTTTTTATATATATATATATAAATCAATACCATTGATTTGTGCAGACATATATAAATAAATAAGTCTATAAATAAAATCTATTGCTGTGTGTGTAAATCTATTTAAACTAAGTGGGTGAAAAAACCAGGGTAGCACAATTTTCAAATAAATTGGCAGCCAAGGAAAAAAAAAAAAAAAAAAAATAAAGCTCCAGAAACCTTCAAATAGGGCAAAATTACCAGTACCTTAAATTTCTGGAAAAAGACCCCCAGCAAGTCATAAGTTAAAATGAAGAGTGCTCAATACACTAAGTAGAGCAAAAGTAAAATAAATCCTAATGAGCCAAGGAGATATATATATATATATATATATATATATATATATATATATGCATGTTTCATTAAAAACGACAGACAAGTTACTACGGTTAAGCTTTTTATTTAATTTTTCTTGTGTTATAACAAGAGCTTTCTTTTTTGGACGAAGGGTGTGTAGGAACTGTCCAAATGTTTTATATTTCTGAGTGCTTTCAGCTATACCTTTAGCCATTATCAAGGATGATTCGATTATCAGCTTAATTGAGTGTGTGCGTTCTGTGTATGTATCAGTGTGTGCTAGGGATGTTTTTAATTTCTGAGTACAGTTAGCACATTGTGGCTTTGTTCATAGTTAATATTGTTAAGAGTTGGCTTTTTTCTTTTTTTATTATTAAAGCTTCCATTATTTTTTTAGTTTTTTTTTTTTGCAGGTGGATGCAGTTAATATATTTGTGTTTTCTACTAGTATGTTCCTAATGGAGTCTGGTAAATTTGTGTGTGTGTTTAAATGTGTTCTAATGGAGCTGTGATCAGATAGGTTTAACGTAAGAAATCTGGATAAGCATGTGGTTGTGTAACCGATGTAATTATTTATGAGTCTGGTTTGATCAGAAACATAGTTCTGATATATATATATATATATATATATATATATATATATATATATATTTTTTTACTTAAAACATTAATATTCCATGGTCATAATTTATTTACATTGGAATAAAGTTTAAATATAATCAATTCATCAGACCTACAAATTCAAAAAATTTTAAATTTTTGAATTTGTAGGTCTGATAATTGAATTATATATTATTTATTATTAATTTAAGCCTTTTATTATATCCTTAAAATAAGACATTGAGTTCTACCTTGATTCTTCCTCTTGGAATTTTTTATGTATATATATTTTGCATATGTATGTATATATTTAATATATATATATATATATATATATATATATATATATATATATATATATATATATATATATATATATATGTCTAAACACACATCAAAGACAAATATTTTTATATATATATATATATATATATATATATATATATATATATATATACATACACCCACAAATATGAATGGTATTGATTTATTGCATATTGAGTATTGGTATTAAAAAATAGTGCTTAATGCAATATAACAGACCTGTGAACTATATATTAATAAATATACATTTTTTTTTTTTCCTCACCAGTAACACAACTCGGAGTTTCCTGCACAATGCACTCTTCAGGTGTTGAGTTAAGACTGACCATTACATAATTTAAACTTTGTTAACCTTTACCACACTGCAGGCGAAAATTCTCATCATAGGATTCTCTCCCTTTGCTGCTCTCGGCACATTCTGTCACCTTGAGATGGTTGCTATAAATAAACACGTGTCAACTGTTATTTCCAGTATTTTAAGCTGGAAATCACCTTCTACTGCTTTGGAACAAGATTAAACTTCCATTTTCTGATGCAATTTTGAATTCTAAACTCTACATGAAGTGTAACATCGATTAAGCCCATGTTAATTTTTTTGCAATTGTTTCAAGTTTTTTGTTTTCAACATCAAAACATGCATGCAAAACATAATGCATTCAAATATAACTCATTCATTCTTTTATTAGTGTACAAAAATTAAAAATCTATATGCACAATACAGTCTAAAAGTTATTTAATTTAAAAAACAGTAGGTGTTCATGTGATTTAAAACCCTGGAAAAAATATCCAAGTGGAAGGGGAACAATTCTAGAAAGAAATTAGGAGGGTAAAGGTTAAATATAAATGTTTGTCACAATGATGAGGCAGGCCATATTTGATACAGGAAATTTGTTTTTTTTTTTTTTTTTTTTTTTAATTTTGTATCTAAAATATACATAAATGAAAATATTTAGTTGTGAATATTTACATATAAATTTTTTATTCCTCACCAGTAGCACAAGTGTGAGATTCATGCACAATGCAATTATGTAATGGTCAGTCTCAATTCAGTGCCTATATATATATATATATATATATATATATATATAAATATGAATATATTTTTTTTTTTTTATTTGGGTACTTTTCTTTTAAAGTGTTTATTCTTTAACTATTTATTCTTTCTCTTGGGAAAGGTACGAATCCTCTTCTTCTCCCTCTAGCTGTGGGTAAATAGCAGGACAGTCTGGGTTCTATAGCCTTGGATGCCAATGGGTCTACAAAAAAAAAAAATAATACCTTTTACTGCAGGAAAAATCTGCCTCATCAGTCACTTGTATCGAAAGATAATTTTGATCAAAACTAAACATGTATTATGCATGGCACATAACTGACTTATTTTTTTTTTAAGATATATAATTATTAATATTATTTTTTTTATATTTTCATTTCTATCTTTTTTTTTATATATATATATATATATATATATATATATATATATATATATATATATATATATATATATATATATTTATATAATATTTTAATTGCATAGATGAACAACGCATCAAAAAATTTGCAGATCATCAAAATTAAAGAATCGAAAACAAAATTCAAATTTCCACATTTATCCAACCAAATATGTTATATGTTTTTCTGATATTGAATTTTCTATTATTCTTTAAACATATATATATAAATAATTATATATATATATTTATTTATATTTATATACACTTTTCTATATATATATATATATATATATATATATATATATATATATATAAGAAATATTATATATTTAATAATAATATAAAATTTATAATATTATAATGATGTTATAATAATATACTAAAAATATAATTTAATATAAATATTATTGATGTTAATATATTAATATATTTATAAATAATAAATATATTGATATCATATTGTATTATTTGGTAATGATGTATCATTTAATAATTCATTTTAATAATACTATTTAATGAGATATTTATATTTTATATATATTATTTAATATTATAATATTTAATAAT